ACATTTGGTCTCTAGTTGTGACTGTCAAATGAAATTATATTCAAATAGGATTTCTACTTGCAGTAAAACAAAAATAAGTTTCTCTTTGGCTAAGTTCTTTTAAAATAAGAGTTGTTAGTAGAAACCTAAGTCTAAAGCAGTGGTCGGCAAACCGCGGCTCGTGAGCCACATGTGGCTCTTTGGCCCCTTGAGTGTGGCTCTTCCACAAAATACCACGTTTTTAGCAAAGGCCAGCTTAGGAGTACCCTAATTAAGTTAATAACAATGTACCTACCTATATAGTTTAAGTTTAAAAAATTTGGCTCTCAAAAGAAATTTCAATCGTTGTACTGTTGATATTTGGCTCTGTTGACTAATGAGTTTGCCGACCACTGGTCTAAAGGAATTAAATGGCTATTCTCTGTTTTTTTCTCAAATATTTTCAATAAGCAGTGCTAAAATATCTACTGTGTTTGTTTCTAGGTCCCTCTAAATGATATGTTTGGTTATTCCACTGAGCTTAGGTCATGTACAGAGGTAAGCAAGTGTTTAAGTTTTACTTTAGTGCCCTTTAAGAGACTACTCTACAAAAGGATGTTATTTGTGAAATCTTGTCTTTGCATGACTTTACCTGATAGTGATAAAAAGTTTTTTTAAATCTCTGTTATTTTTTTTTTTTAACTCCCAGGGGAAGGGAGAGTACACAATGGAGTACTGCAGATACCAGCCATGTTTACCAGCCACACAAGAGGACCTCATTAATAAGTATTTGGAAGCTACAGGTCAACTTCCTATAAAAAAAGGAAAAGCAAAGAACTAACTTTACTCATTTACATTGGCTAACTTTAACTGAATCTGCAGGGCTTGGATATTTTAATAGCTCGCAGTGGAATGAATTCAGGCAGAAACAAGAAATTTTAGAAGCCCTTTCTATTATATTCAGGAGCTCCTATCATATCAAAGTTAATTCTATGTACCAGGTATATCTCAACTCTATTGAATGGTTTTATAGTTCACTGAAAAAAACTCAAATAAAATATGATTATTACTGTTATATATTTTATATTTATTTTAAGCGGGAAGAGACATATCAGTTACACATCTAGGCTTAGGATGTGTGTAACCTTCCTTTTCAAATTTTTATCATAAGAATTTTTAACAAAGAAAAACTGAAAGAACAACCATATACTTTCCATCTAGTTTCAACAATGAGCAATTTTGTTAACAATTTGTTAATCTGATTATTTGTTTTGCAATACTTGTTTTATCTGTTTGTTGTCTATATGTCTCATACTTTTATATTTTTAATTTTTAAAATATTATTTTTTTGCTAAACACTTGAAAGTGAATTGCACATATCATGACACTTCTTGGAGTGTCATCTTTAACAGGCAGGCTTTTTTATTTAAGAGTAGGTTCCATATGGTCTTAATAGAGTACATTTTTCAGATTCTTCATTGGTATATTAAAATGCCTGCTAAATTTCTAGCTGTTCTATGTAGAGCTGATTGTTTTCATCTGCAAATGTGTAGCTGCCTTCTTTTAGGAGTGTTGATGTTTCTTTCTTGTGGACCGATGAGGTAAAAAACAGGCCCTTGCGCATGCAATTCTCACTTATGTTCATCTGAAGGTTTCTGCAGCTCTAAATAATGAAATACACGTTTCAGAGTTCCTGCCTAATCAGTTCATTCACCTACTGAGTGCTAGTTGAATTTGGAATTTATTATATTATACTCATTGAGATCATGGAAGAACAAATGTTAAGCTTTTGTTTTTGAAATAAGTTGGACTTCCCTGGCAATTCTACCATATTGTTCAGAATCGCTTCATCCCGAAATCATGTGATGTAACAGACATATCTAAATTATTTTCCTTAGTGAATAATAGAAATAAAATAATGTTTAAATTCCTTTGTTTTTCTTGATTTGGTTTTATAACTTAAGGTTTCTAGAAAAAAAGATTTTTTAAAAGTATTGAGCACATGTTTTCAAGGCATTTGCTAAGTGCTTTAAATGCATTATCTAATTTAGTTTTCACTCCCCTGTGAAAGTAGGTACTATTGGTCCATTTTGTAATAGAGGAAGCAAAAGTGCAGAGAAGGTAAATCACTTGTCTAAGACCACGCAGCTCGGTCAGTTTTCAGTTGATAACTTAAATTGATTATTCATCATCTCAAGTACATTTACCCCATGAATATGTCTGTTGCTACAATACCATCAAGCCTGAAAAATGTTGTTGCATTGGCATTTCATCAGCATCTCATGCCATTCAAAATAACATAGAATATTGTTCCTGAGGAAGAAATGCTTTCATGGAATTTAGCACAGTTCCTCTGGCTATTGCCAGCAGTCATAAAAATTAGAACTAAGATGGGCAAATGTTAATGTTTTTAACTTGTTAAACATTCTGGTCATAAAGATAGTGTCAGAAAAGAGCATAGTTATCTAATCCAACACCAACATTTCATAGGCAACGACACAGGTCCAGCTGGTGGGAGTAAGTAGTATAGGATTTCATTGGAACAAATCCAGGACCAGAACCCACACTTCTTGCTAACTCATTAGGCTATAGTTGATTAAAGACCACATATCAGCCAGGGTCTGTAGCGAGAAAGAAATCAATGGGGACTACTACAGTTGTGAAGCATAATTGTTGGTTAATTTAAAGAAAGACGGTATTGCTTGTATTGAAGAATGGTAGCAGCACAATCAGTATTGCCCTGATTCCTGTCCCTACCACTCTTAGAAAGTCACCTGGGGAGCTTTGAAAGAAACACCCAGGCCAACCCCAGGTGGTCTGATTCTCTGGATCAAGATCAAAAGTTTCCCAAGTGAATATAATAGCAGGTAAGGTTAAAGACAACTGCAGTGTTGCCTGCACCTTCAAGATGTGAAATGGAAGATTGATCCAGAAGTGTCCTATAACTAATTCTTTTGTGTGATGTTAGAGTTTGGGCTAGTTGTTCTTAGTTTGATAACTGTACCTTAAAAGAAATACAGGCAATTTTCTGTTATTACTTTCCTCCTTGCTCACTCTCAGATTGTTTAGTTGTGAAATCACTGAAATTTTGTTAATTCTGAAGTTTTATTTTAATATATTTGAAATATGGATGAGTCTTAAAATTTATGTCAGTGAAACTAGGCAGCCACGAGGTAGTAGTAAATTATGACATGATGGAATACATCTCTTTGTAGAAGACAGCTATTTGTATTGCTAACACTATAAGTTGTTGAATTTGAGCTTTAATTGCTGCTTAAAGTGTTTTCAAACAAATAACACTGGAATGCATCATTGAAACAGTTAATTGTATTCAAGACAATTTATTGTAAACATTTATTCAAGTAAGTGCCAGGGAACATTTATTCAAATAAGTTAGGTGACTGTAGCACTCTGAAAGCCAGGGAAGGTCACAGAATAGATTCTAAGCTGAGAAAAAATTGATGTAATAAACTCATGTCATGAAGGACTGTCATTCAAGGGCAACTGTAGAAACTTCCAACTGACTCTGAAAAGAACTTATTTAACTTCTAACAATTCATAATTCAGGTAAGAAAAAATGAAACTGAGTAGAATCAAGTAGAATGTAGACAAAATCCTGGTACTATTGGGTATGTTTTAAAGTTCTGAAAGAGGGTAAGAAAATGAATGTAATGCTGTATGTAACTGTCATTGGCTCAGAGTGATTAAAAATTTGGACTTAATGAAAGAGGGCTTGGGGAATTTAGAGTTTTTCATGTTATGTCAAGGTCAGTGAAGTAATTTTCCTCTGCAGTAAGCTAGCAAAATCAGTATTATTAAAATCAAATCAGCAATTTTTAGAGTTTTTGTTAGAAAAGATGTTCTAATGTGATACTGAGAAACTTTTAGTAGGTTTAACTTTTGTGGGTTTTGTAAATTAGGTAATTGTGTTTGTACGTTGTCTCTGTGTGTATAATTCCCCTTCATAATCAATTACACTGAAATAAACCTGTTAAAGGGTTACCTTAGAGTTCTTACCTGCTTGAATGATGGTTATACTTGAGTGTAATCTCACTAATTAAAAATGCCTTTATGAGGGTGAGGTGAGACTCTGGAAAGCTGAAACCCTTCTAGCCCTTAAGCTAAAGATCACAGGGCATTGAATATGCCATTCCAATGCTCTTGGCACCATTTTCTAACATTATGTAGGGAACTTCAGTTAGAGGAGTTTATCCTTTGGTTTGGGCATGACTTAATCATTATAGATTGCTATTTTAGAAAAATATTTTCTCTGCGTTATGACACAGGTGGGGAATCTGATGTTTTCTTTAAATGACTGTCTCCCAGTGCTTCAGAATACTTACTGCTCTTTAAGTCGAGTGGATGTTGGGAAGATGAATGTAGAGGGTTGGGGTTTAAAATATATATAAGTAACAGTATCATCCATCTTTCATTTTGTAAGAATCCATGACTTTAAATTGTTTCTCTTCTGTGTGAACTTTTCCAATTTTCTAATAGTGCAGACTTAAAATGAATGATTTGGTATATTTTAAGGCTGATGCTTCCTAACCAATTTACTAGCCAAGGAATCTGGCTGCCGGTTTTCACACACAAATGTAAGTGTTCCATTACATGACACTGATTTTGAGAGGCAAGTGGTGGCTACATTTCCTAGACCAATTCTGCCTACCTTTGGGGAAGTAGGTACTCCACAGAATCGGATTACATACATATTGTGTCTGTCGTACATTTTTCCCTTTTTTAAAAAAAAATTTTATTGTTAAAAGTAAAAGATGTCCCCTTTGTGTTTGTTGTTTTTTTCCCATTGACCACCTCCTCCCCACACCCACCCTTCGCCACCCTGTTGTCTGTGTCCATGGGCTATGCACTTATATGCATGTAAGTTCCCCGTTCCCCGGTTAATCTCTCCCCCCTGTTGTTGTAAATTACTTATGCCAACACTGGGTCCAAGTTGTCCTTAAAAGTGAAAACTGTAAATACTTTCTATACATACAGTTACATCACTGTCCCATTTAATACATGTTTGCAGACACTAGGCTTTATCTGTGAGACGCTCTATTTTTATTTGTAAAATATGAATTAAACAATATTAAGAGTTCACTTAAATCCATCTTAGCACAGAATTTGCCTACAAATCTCTACAAACATACTTAACACAGTTGATTTAGAAATGTAAACATTTATTTAAAAGTAGCTATCAAGTTATAAAAGAATACCTGCTTAAAAGCATAAAAATAGTATAATTCCTTTTAAACAGATATTTTCCCTACAATTGGCTTTCATTGAAATATATTATCTTTTAAAAACCCCAGTATCTTTTCATTGTTGAGCATCGCAGGCTTTCCGAATTATTAGGATGCCTTAGACACTGGCTATTTTACTAGAATAATGACTTAGGCTACTTTGTACAGTCACTGTGTTTAGGATTTGGGATAGCAGGTCGTCTTCTTTCCTTTTCAGTAATTGATCAGTCCCGTCGTCGGTGCCACAGCTGATCCTTCTTCAATTCCAGAGGCTTCCTCTGGTGCCTGCGGCCCCTGACAGTGGTACTTCACTTTAAGGGGTTTGCTCGGGTGCCAGACCAAGTGAATACGACAGGGAATGATTTCCTAGAAAATAGGGGTTTTCAAACATTAAGAGCTGCAAAAAATTCTGGTAAAAACAAGTCTATGTATAATGTTGTGTTTTACCTGTGTTGAGAATTCATGGAGTAGGACCATATAGTCAAAATCAATGGCATCCTCATCTGTTTTCTAGAGAAAGGAAAAAAGAGTTAGTGTAACAAACAGGTAGGTGTAGATCAGCTCAGAATTTGGAAGGCTTATCTTATAAACCGGGTGATGCCTGGACTCTCCTTCTGTCTCTTGGATTTTAGCTGTGTTTCCCTTGGGTAGGATCCTGCATCAAGATACGGAAGTCATGGATTCTTACTGTTTGGTCACTGAATTCTATGACAATCTATTGACTGTCTATCACTTTTTCTTTAATACTTATGGTTTTTGATGGAGGCTAAGGTCGGTGGGGATAGGGAGAATCTTTTGGCAACCTTAGGAATTAGGTACTGTATATGCACCTCAAGCGGATATGTTAGCCCTGATGTGCCAGGCAATAAGACAAGGGGCAGGGCAGCCAGTCCTTTGAGGCTGCCACATGGGCCAGGTTCTGTGTTAAGCACTGGAGTCAGGTTTTCATGTAATTCTGACTGCCTTACAAGAGTACGTGTTATGAGCCTCATTTTACAAGGGAGATAGCTTGAGGTTGCAGCTAGTAAATGGCAAATGGGGATTCGAACCCAGATCTACTGACTCCACTGTCCGCACTGCCTCTTCAACCAGTGCACTGCTTACTTGTAAAGTGGCAGGCAATCTTTCTCACCTCTTATTCACTTGATATCTGTAAGTTTTACTAGTAACTAAACCAATTTCCTCTTTTATTTTTGACACTTCCTGGTTTTTTGGTGGGTTTTTTTGGTGGCGGGGGGAGTGGAAGCTAGGGTCCTTATCTATTGTAAAAATGGAAGGGAAGAAAATAAAATAAATTCAACTTGGATTATAATTTTTTAAAATATATTTTTATTGATTTCAGAGAGGAAGGGAGAGGGAGAGAGAGAGAGACATCAATGATAAGAGAGAATCATTGATTGGCTGCCTCCTGCATGTCCCCCACTGAGGATTGACCTTGCAACTCGGGCATGTGCCCTGACTGGAATCGTGACCTGGTTCATAGGTCCACACTCAACCACTGAGGCACACTGGCCGGGCCATAGTTTTAATTTTATAATTTCAATCTACTAGGTTTTATTGAGACTATTAATGTAAAAAAGCAAAGTCAAACAAAAGGATTTGATATTAAATTTTGCTTAAAATGATGGAGATTTTTACAAACCATGAACTTTCCAGCGGGGAGGGTGCTAGAGGGAGAGGAAATGAGAGGGCCTGGTTTGATCAGAAATTGACTTTTTTCTGTGTGTCTGCATCATGGGTAGATTTCCTTCCCTCCTGCCTGGCAGTGAACATGCGAATAGTCAAAGCAAGTATCTGAGGCACAGGCTGTACAGTCAGAACTCATGAGAGGATACCCAGTGTCGCTTTTATAAAAAAACAGTTTCTGGAGACCCCAGTGGTCAGTTTGGCATTGTTGGGTTTAAGGGTGTAGGTAGCCTTGCTTGACCTTCGTCTGGTAACTATCTTGACCTTGAAAGGAAATGGTGGCCTCAAGATGGCCCATACCAGCAGGCCACTGCGTTGTATGACTTGTCTCAAGCTTTTGTGCTGCCCGCACTATTTCTCAAGGCCTCTCTATTAACCATGTATTCTTCTATCATAAAAAAATTGGTTTTCCTTATAAACAACATGTTTTTCAGGTCAATGCCTTCTTATTCTGTTTCTGCAAACAGCATTTCTGAATCATGGCTGTCTACAGATTTGAGGCAAAAAAAAAACAACAACAGGCAAGTCTGGAAACTGGGATTCCAACTCCATTTGACAAACTGTTCTGCTACATTGTTACCCATTTTTTCATACAAAAAAATTGGATTATTATAATGCTTGGAAACCAGGTACTACTTCGTGAAGACCCTCCTCAGTGAAGTCACTGAAACAGACCCTTGCATTTCTGTTTTATGGGTTATTCCTCCTCCAGGTGGAAACACCCTTAAACCAAACAAAACAGCGGGGCTTTTTACAGAACTACAGAGGGGACAGTGTACACCCCAGCTGGCAAGGTATTCCAGGGTTAAACTGTCCTCGCCGAATGGAGCTCTGCCAAGAAGTCATTATTTTTAATATTATTCAGAAATAATCTCCTTGGCGTCTATTCAAATCGTCACAAAATGCCACATCATTATAGTCCAAATTGACGGTGATTTTCTGTGACATTTTCTGGTAACTCAGCACTTTAATCTTCCTAGAGGCAGACTGGAAGTATTTTGTTTGTTCCCTTTTACTTTTGCACCACCCCTCCACCTTCACCCCTACCCAAATCCCCCCCAAAAAGAGAGAATGATCCTTAGAAGAACCAGTGTGGTTTTGCCTCCACCCCTACCCAAATCCCCCCCCTCCCCCCAAAAGAGAGAATGATCCTTAGAAGAACCAGTGTGGTTTTAGTAGAGAGTGAGTAAGCTCAGGCTATTAATATAAAGTAGATGTCTTAGCTGAATACATAAGGTAGATAAGATGGTTTCTGTAATGTGCCTTGGCCACCGGGGGCCTCTTTCGACAGCAGGACTTGAATTGATTGATAGTGACGGGCTGCAGATTAGGTAGTCTGGGTTGCTGACAATGTCTGGTGTTGATAAGAGTTGGAACAATGCTCAGATTTACTATTCTCAATTCATATTAAAGGCAAGAGTGTAGGGAAAGTCCTTGTCCTTTTTCTTTTTCTCTAGCCAGCAAGTATCTCCCCTGCCCTTGGCATAGTCCTCATGGTATTGGGAATGACATCGGTTGTTCGGTTCTAACGCAATAATTGTGCCAGTAAGATGGTCTTACATTGGTATTCAATCCTTTCTTTCATAGCCCGCACGCCCCTCAAACTTTGCTTATATGAAGCTGTGGGTTTATAAGCCTGCACTTCCTGACACACTTGCATTGAAATGTGAGTTTAACCCTAAGTGTAAAGATGGTAATTCCCACCCAGAAAACATTTGGAAAAACAATAATCGCTATACTTTCTGAGCTACCAAGGGCCACAGAGCACCTCCAGTCACTTACTGTTTCTGTGCTGGACGGCGTGGCTTTATCAGCCCTGCCATCCTGCTTCTAGTCTCTCGGGACAGTACCTAGATTTTCTGATCTTAGTGACTTTTTAAAAATTGTTGCTTGCCCTACCTGATTTGGCTGAGTGGATAGTGTTGGCCCGTGGACTGAAGGGTTGCGGGTTCGATTCCGGTCAAGGGCATGTACCTTGGTTGCAGGCTCTATCCCTGACCCCCAGTCAGGGTTCGTGCCGGAGGCAACCAATCGATGTGTCTCTCTGGCATTGATGTTTCTCTTTCTGTCTCTCCCGATCCCTTCTACTCTAATAATCAATAGAAAAATATCCTTAGGTGAGGATTAACAAAATAAAATAAAAATAAAAATTATTGTTGGCCCTGGCTGGTGTGGGTCAGTCAGTAGGAGTGTCATCCCATACACTGAAAGGTTCCGGGTTTGATTCCCAGTCTGGGCAAATGCCTAGATTGCGGGTTCAGTCCAGTCAGGACCTGTGATTGTGGAGCATGTGGGAAGCTACCCAGGCTCTATCCCTGACCCCCAGTCAGGGTTCGTGCCGGAGGCAACCAATCGATGTGTCTCTCTGGCATTGATGTTTCTCTTTCTGTCTCTCCCGATCCCTTCTACTCTCTAATAATCAATAGAGAAATATCCTCAGGTGATGATTAACAAAATAAAATAAAAATTATTGTTGGCCCTGGCTGGTGTGGGTCAGTCAGTAGGAGTGTCATCCCATACACTGAAAGGTTCCGGGTTTGATTCCCAGTCTGGGCAAATGCCTAGATTGCGGGTTCAGTCCAGTCAGGACCTGTGATTGTGGAGCATGTGGGAAGCTACCGCTCAATGTTTCTCTTTCTCTCTCTTTCTTTTCCCCTCTAAAATGCAGTGAAAATCACTGCTTTTTGTTATGTTGCTGTTTTGGCTGAAAGATCACAGGAATCTTTAGTGGCCACCGAATGGCAGAATTTAAAAATAAGAGAACTCTGAGCTGAAATGGGTTATCAACCTTGAAACCAAATTTCCCAATTCAGTGATTTAGATTTATGTTAGCTTCAAGGACTTCAGTAAATCCTCCATTAATGGGCCCTAAGAGATGAAGTAATTTGTCTTGGGTGACCCAGCAAGTCAGTTACATATTCACTTATTCATCCAAAACCCAAACCCCACAACGCAAGAAACTCTCAAGCTCCTAATCTGTGACACTGTTTCTGATGAACCAGCATTTTTGTTTTCCACGACTCCATTGTTCCTACTTTCCCATGCGCAGGGTGGTTGAGGGACATGGATAGACAGATAACGGCCTGGCTAGAACGGGAGAGAAATGGGCTGCTCCCGCACTGTGGTATGTCCTGGTGCTTATTTTGGCAATGTGTCATGCACAACTGTAAGAGAAAGGAAAACACTGATGTTCAAAGATCCTAATTTTTAGATTTATGTTAGCTTCAAGGACTTCAGTAAATCCTCCATTAATGGGCCCTAAGAGATGAAGTAATTTGTCTTGGGTGACCCAGCAAGTCAGTTACATATTCACTTATTCATCTAAAACCCAAACCCACAACACAAGAAACTCTCAAGCTCCTAATCTATGACACTTTCTGATGAACCAGCATTTTTGTTTTCCACGACTCCATTGTTCCTACTTTCCCATGCGCAGGGTGGTTGAGGGACATGGATAGACAGATAACGGCCTGGCTAGAACGGGAGAGAAATGGGCTGCTCCCGCACTGTGGTATGTCCTGGTGCTTATTTTGGCAATGTGTCATGCACAACTGTAAGAGAAAGGAAAACACTGATGTTCAAAGATCCTAATTTCCTCTCTGTTGTCTCTGTTGATTGGCCCCTGTTGAGTTTTCCTCTCATTATTTTCTTGAGTTCATTATCTTGGCACCGCCTTCCACACCGTAAACAAAGTTTCGCCTGACTTCTCAGTTAGGGCGGAAGACTCTTGTTAAGGATATGATTGTCTTGGGAGAAGAGCGAGAAAGAGGGAGAGTGTTTTATCTAGTTATATAGCAACAACCAATTAAGTGGTAATTTCTATT